AACATATGTATTTATTATATACATTAAAAGACATTAGCAGATATTGGAATTTATCAAGAAAACAATTCATAATTTCAAAGAATAATAGAACAGCGTATCTTTTAAAATAATTTCTCTAGAAAACTGTTTTAGAACAGACCAAACAGAATAAAAACATCTCTACAGTCAGTGTAAATTTAACGACTTATAAATAAAAAAAATGATAATAAAAATGAAAAATTTCACATTATAAATCTGGCAGAGACTATTCAAAAATACGAAGTTGGGAATGCCCCATTTAACGCTGGGACCTGTAGGCCAATAATGTACAACAAATACAACTTATTGGTAGGCCTAGAATGCCTAAATAGCGATAATGACCTCCTTTTAAATTTGGAGCAGTGATCGCGCAAAATCATTACCCACATTTGACTCGCTCGCTCAACTATACGCAACAATACTGACTCGTATAAAGTTCACATTTGTGAAAAGTTTCCATCCAAGCGTCAGGTATACCAAACCTGAGGGTCATAAACGTACCGGGCGACAGCCACGATGAGGGGGTGTGAAGCAGCTCGCAGCGCGCACCTCGGAAACTTGCCTGCGAAGCGCTCCGCTCCTATGCGTATAATTACGTCGGAGCTCGATCGGTCACTAGCAGGCCTCGACGCTCCGACCAAGCCTTTGGACGAGACGCGACCTCCGCCTCCCCTCGCGGCCCTGGCTACTGTTTTATTTTCGTTCGGAGAGACCACGATTGCGAAAGACCCGCGCGCGAATCAGCGGCCTCTTGTGATATTTCCCAGTAGTCCAACTTTATCGGGGTGAGCCCGATAATGGCTCTCGTGGCCCAACGGACAATTCAGCCCCTCTCTCTGGCCACAATCGCGGTGCTACAGTTCATGCTTCACAAATGGAGCACAGTTTACTTTGTGTCGTGACGCGCATCATCACACGGTACAGTGAGCCCTATCGGGTTGGGGGAGGGGGGGGGCAATAATTTGTCATGCTTACAAAACGATTGAGAGCTGGTGCGCTAAGTGAGTTGACATTGTATGCTGAACTTGTGAATATTATCCTATCGCATTCTCATTGATGTGTTGTTGATTATTTTTGGTTTTATTAACATTTGATTATTTACCAATGTTTCGAATGCACACTGATTTGCAAGCTAATAAAATTGCAATGTTATTGATAAGAGAAAAGTTTTATATAAAGTATCGGCAATGTATTCACAAATTTCAAAAAATTTATTTTGCTCTTTCAACAGCGAGTCAATGCAAAACATGTCACATGCGCGCACGCACTTGACAAGAATATATATTAATTTAAAATATAATATTGTAAGGATCCAATAATTGACTATTTACAGTTTCGATATATTTCTGATTTTAAAATATACGGCTTTTTTTAAGCAAATATCTCACAGTCTTTTTATTAAATAACTTGAATTTTTATGATATCCCTTCATACTTATAGCTATCCAATCGTTATTAAAATCAATCAAAAAGATTTTATAATTATTAATAAGGAAAATCAAAATGAATATTTCCATTTCAAAAAGAGTGTAAGTGATAAATATTAATTTGAATCGATTGTTTTACAATATTTTACAATTTTCCGATACTTTCATGTATTGCAATGTATAATGCAGAAATGAAACTAATGCAAGGTTATAAATCCTTATTATACGCTCATAAAATTATAATCTGATACATAATCTGTAAATTGTTAATTTAATTAATCTGATATATATTCGACTTCATAATTAAATTGTTTAATACATTACAAAATTATGACGACTAACGACGAGAAATTGTTATAATGGTAAAAATATAAGTTTAACTAATATAAACTTTACTTTTAAAATAATTAAAAGAAAGCTTAGTAAAAAACTAACAACATATTTAAGAAAATTTCAATATTTGTAAATATTTTTTATAAAAATAATTGATAACTTGAATTTGCAACAATACATCTCTTAAAATTGTATACTAACCTGTTTTACCGACAGCTAATAATCAACAACTAATAATTTACAAATAATAATAAAACATTACTTTCCTGTATTTAAGAAGCTATTCTTAACATTTCTAAAAATTATAATTAAATTATTAGTTTCAAAGTGTTTTCAGATTGACATTCTCTTTAAATATTCTTTATTTATCCAAGTCTAGAAAACAACTTTCTATTCTAAAATTAATAATTAATACTATATAATACATAATAGTAATAAAACAATATATCAATTTTATTGAATAAAGTTAGCAGTACGTACACCCTATATCAATTTACTTTTAATTTACTCACAGAAATATATTTTAATTTATATTATTTTATTTAATGCTTTAGTCGAGATGAAATTGAAAATTAAGCAAGAAAATGTGAGATACCATTCATAAATTCATTATAGTGGTAGTAACAGTAATAATAATGAAAGTAATAAAAGTATTGATAATAATATTGATAATAAGCAAATTTAATTTTCGAAAACAAATAGTTATTCATGAAGAAAATTATTTTAATCCGTTTTGAGTATCTAATAGGCTAAAAACAATTACTCTATCAACGTACTCTGTTCTTATTCAATATCTTTCAATCGGGAACAAGAAAAATTTAATTCTTAACCTTAGTGTTTATTGTTGGACGGTATCAGTTTGATATTTGCACAATATATTAACAATTATTATTTTATCAACTGAATAAAAAAATACACAAAATACTGATATGTTATGATTACGCTGGAGCCCTGCCCAGGTCGAAGTCAATAGCAACAAAATATATATATTTGTTTATTTATAATCATTGTATGTATAATTATATCGCGCGAGCGAGGCGCTTCAGTGCGCTATATTTATATTTTTCACGCATTTTCTCATCACAATTACGCTAGAGCCGGAAATAAGAGAAAAAGTCAGCGAATGGGTCGTCGGCTTTCTTTGTATTCTCTCCGATCGATCCCACAACGACTTTAGTCACCCTTGCAACCACAAATTATATTTCACAATAAGTAAAAAAGTCAATCGCAATAACAAAATATTGGTTGAAAAGGATCGACGCCTTGATGCATCTCGCACGTAACTTACAAGACAAAAATGTACAACAATATTGACATGCGGCCAGACTAAGCTTTCTAAGCATTTTATGCTTAAAGAATAAGGAAAACAAAAACATTTATTTATAGAATATAAATCGATTGGCTTTCGTAACATCTACGCTTACTATTTGTTGTTGTTGTTGAAAGTAATAATATAGTTAATAATAGCTAATAATAATAGTAGAAATAATAATAATAATAATAATAATAATAATAATAATAATAATAATAGTTAATAATGCTTAACAAAATGTACGAGTTATTTATAACTTGTTGTTTTATAGCTTTAGCAATCGAATTTATTTTGCAAAAGTTTATTTCCAACTCAGAACAAGAAATAAGTCCTCTTTTTTTCTTCTCTATGTATTCGTCTCTATGAACATTATATTGGAGTAAATGGAAATGTAAAAGTTACAATTGCAGTTTTGCCACGATTTAACGGCTTCGTGTCGTTCGAATAACGACTTGTACAAATAGCATAAGGCTAACCTCTGTCTTTATTTTTTCATTTCCCTTCGTAAATTCTAATCACAAACTAAACTATCATTCGATTCTCAACACGGATCACTTTGTTTTCAACACACACACACGCGCGCACACACACTTATACACGCACGCACACATTAATAATACCTTGTCTTATCACTACAGAGTAATATACCCTCGTGTGGTCTTCGGTTGACAATGGAATGTGTAGTATTTCTTGCTTCTCGTTCATTACATTTTATTTGCAGCTTGTTCGCGCTTTTATGATGCACGAATTAATAGAATGATTTTTAAAATTCTTCATAGCAATCATATTTACAAGACTTACAAATCACATTTATGTAGGAGATGTAAGATTACCGATTGCTCAGACGCCCATCGAAAGGACAAAAATATTCGATCTTATGACGAGTTTTTTTTTATTTTTGCTTTAAACTATGGTAAAATTTTACATTTTTTAATCCAAATAGAATGCAATTTAATTTCTTAAATTGTTAAATCATTCTCGCGTCCTCTGTCCTAACAAGAAAGCAATGATCTCGTCTCTTGTTTTTCGTTTGCACGCTATACAGTTTTCAAAGACGGAGTATTAGAAACATCAGGTAAAAATTATCACTCACTCGATTAGATGTCATTAATATTGTTATAAAAAATCTGCGTTCTCAAAGAATAATATTATCTATCGATTTGGAAGACGAAGTCAATATCTATAAAAATGAGATTTCTTCTTAAAAGCAATCGAAATCTTATCACTTGTAAAATTGATCGTTGTTTGTAGAATCTTAAGAAAATTTTGAACTTTTGCATTTATATACACTCATGCACACACACATTTCGTCAAAAAATAAAAATTTTTACAACCATTCTTAGTTTGATATTCTGATCAGTCGCTTAGGTATTGAAAAAAAAAAATAAATAAATGAAAATACAGATTCATTATTTAAAGGCAAAATATAAAAACTTTTCAAATCACAACGCATAGAATAGAACGTAAAAACATTTGAATAGGTACGTCGAGTTATCATTTTCTATCTCCTCCACAAATTGAAACTTCACGTATTACACTTGAAAAGATTGTAAAAAAAGAGAAGTAAAACAAAACAAAACAAAACAAAACCTAATACTATCTGCTATTTTAATATAAGTAATTATACATTCCAATTATCTTATAACTCATATGAAACTTAATTTCCAAGACACACGGGAAGAAATCAATTTTCACGCCTTATCCTCGTATTTATTTCATAAATAAAAATATCCGCCGAATCGGCGACATTACAAACCGTTGTATTCTTCCAGTATAGCCGTCAATCTTCGTCTTAAATAAAAACAAAAACGTTCTTCGTACTAGTACAAACATAACACTTTAAAACATAATACGAGATTTCTTTTTTACACACAATAGTTTCCTCGATGTAATAGGGAAAAGTAGACCATACGGACAGTGACGTTGGCAACGTCCAAAGTACATCCTACTTCGGTTAGTCACTGCTGAAAACATGAAATCGCAATGGAAGGAAGGTTCTGATTACAATACCGATCGCAGTGACTATACAAACAATTCAATTACAAACAATCGGTGTGCACGTGGCTAAGCGAAATATGTAACCTCTAGCATTCGGATTTGTCCTCTTCGACGAGCTGCTGGGTGTCTTTGCCGGTATCGACAGCCGTCGGATCGAGCTCGCGCCTCTTGAGATGCAGTTGAGGTGGCTCCTTGTGCTGAACGCTAGAGGGTTTCATTTCCGCGGGCACCTCGTAAATGCTGGTGCTGTTGTTGCTCGCTCCCGTGCCATTAGTCGTCGTGTTGCCCATACCGGACTCCATGTTTACGGCGTCATACATAGGGTTACTGAAGTCCCTATTCTTGTTGCTCACCTCGCCGAGGTTGTACTCCACGTCTAGTGGCTCCTACGCAAACAAATGTAACTGAAGTATTATAAACATTTTTTATGTGTGTTTTCACGTCATCTTTAAAAGACACGAGAGTCGGGTGAAAGTTGGAAAGTTTGGAAAAAGTTCGGTGATAACTTGAAAATAAATTGAAAGGGCTCATAATGAACTAAAGAAAATACGTCTTTTTCTGTATCATAAAATACGTATTTATATTTTGTATATAAAAAAAACATGTAAATCTAATTGTTATGCGATACCAAAAACAATGAGCTTTGTATTTATTTCCTTCTTTGGTTTTTCTTTTAAGAACACTAGTATTAATATCGATAGTTAACTATAATTCAAGTAACCAATACACAGGAGTGGTTCTTTTAAATGTAATTAATATTTTAAGTACCATTCGATCCTGTGTCGATCCACCAAATTCGACATTGCTACCTTGTCGGAACGAGACGCTTTGAGCACCCGTTAAGCTACCAAGACCAGGTTTTCCGCTAAAACAGTAATATTTAGAAATATTTTTAACCTTATGAGAAGTGATGCTAAGTAAATTGTTAATTAATCGTATATTTCAGTCTCATTGGGATGTGAAACACCCCACAATTGTGCTTTTAGGATCAGTCATGTGATCACTCGATATGAATCAACAAGCGAGGGAATTAGTAATTATGAGCACTCACAATGGCCGTTTTTTTAGAACCATGAAGACCGCGGCAGCGGCAAGGAGCACGAGAATCGCGACGACAATGGGCACGACAATGGAGGCGGTCGAACTACTGGATCTCGTTGACACTAGTCCAACCTCGCACGTATCGCCGTGGAAGTCCGTTGGACAAATGCAGTAAAGTGCCGTCACGAGCTTCTTGCAGTATCCTCCGTTTCGGCACATACAAATCTTGAAAAGAGAAAAAAGATCAAGAAATGAGTGCATGACTGAGAGAGTGGTGATTGTCGTATTCGACGTTATTAATAGTTTATCGTTGAAAGGCTGTGAAGTGGACAATAATAAGGATGTAAATTCCCCCGAACGTATGATAGCCGTTTTAAACGTTCAATTCGTACGTTTCGGGTGAACCAATTTAAAATATATTTTACCTGGGGTGGTGGTATCTCGCTCTTGATGCTCGCGTCGCAGACTACGTCATTCACACCGAGCGGACCCGGCGTACTCCAGTGATCCGGGCACAGACAGCGATGACCTCGGGGTACCGCCACGCAAAGGTGCGAACAATCGACCGAGTGGCAGGGATCACGTAGAGTCGTATTATAGCGCAGCTCGTGGTAAACGCGGACGCCACCGGGACTACCGAGGTCACGCTTCAAGATTTGCGAGACACCCCGGCCAAACTTATCCTGGCGCACGAGCTCGTTGGCGCGCGTTGTCCAGTACACATTGCTCTCGAACACATCCAACGAGACCTACGAGAACATGATGAACAAGAACATGACGTCGTTTGCGGTAGCTCAGGTACTTAATATCCGAGCGAAATACTCACCGGATGCCTCATGTGGTCCCCGCTGATGATGACCTTTCTGTTACTGCCGTCCTTCTGGATGGACTCGATGGTATTGAGCTTTATGTCGGCCCAATAAAGTGTGTGTTCCATGGCGTGATCGATGGCGAGTGCCGAGGGCTGGCCCAGGCGGCTGATGACCAAGGACTTACGGCGGCTACCGTCCATCCAGGCGACCTCGATCTTCGGCTGAACACCGGCGTCCGCCCAGTAGACACGGCCGAGTTGCGGGTCTACAACGACCGCCGTCGGGTGCTCGATGTTCTGGGTCACAAGGGCGCTCGTATACCGACCGTCTGCCTTCGAGACGAGAAGGCGGCCCCGAGCGTGAGGCGGACTGTTATTGATTTCAGTCCAGTAAAGATTTCCGGATACCCAATCGACTGCTAAACTTGTCGGTATCGAGTTCCCTGTAAAAAAATTCTCGTTACAGTTTACTTGGGCTTCGCGAGCGTGATTCCCGATATAATAGGTTGCTTTTGTTGGTTTAAAAGATCGTCTGTAGTTATCTACTTCAATTTACTATTTAATTGATTATAGTTACGGAATTTCAATAATGTGCTGATTTTTATCAGCTTTCAGTAAGCAATTGTACTTGGTATATCATAAAGATAATGATGCACCGACTATTGCTAATTATCATTTTTCAAATTCTAAATTATACGATTGATGGTAAGATAATATAAACATGTAAATTATATATAGCTTGTACTCACTATCGATAAATATATCTTGTGCAAATCCAATTTGAATTATATTGCCGTCGACCATAGCCGAACGCCTGATAGCTGTATCGTGACCGTCAATCCAGTAAATGTATTCATTTTTGGGATCAAAATCAATAGCATTTACGCGATTTTCCTGAACGATCACATCCATTTCCTCATTTTTATATAGATTCAGTGCTCTAATTTCTTGTCCGCTTCCAAAAACAATCGTAACCTAGAACGGATTGCATTAATTATTTGCAAATGTGCCTTAGATATTAATTACTTGTCAAAATATGATCGCTGAGAGGAGGAAATTCGTAGTGACGGTCGATATCGATACGAGAATCGATAATTCTAACGAACATGCTTACGCGTGCAATTAAAGGTTGTTCTAATGTGAAATGATTCTAATGTGCATGAGCATACTTTTGAAATGTTCAAACGAGAAACTTTGCACACTGTGCACCCCTTTAATTCAATTACGTAATGCTCATTGAATCTTAATCGCTAATCAAATGCTATTCCGTACAATGCTGAGAAAATAGTTGAAATTCTAAAGCGATTGTACTTATGCAAAGCAGATTGTGTGAAGTAGCAAGTTGATCGAGACAAATGAAATTATGGTTGAAGAGGATGCCAACCTTATCGTCCTCAGCTTTACACACGCCACTGAGATTGTCGGAAAGTCTAAAACCATCGCGACAGGAGCAGGCGTAGGAGCCGTTGAGATTGGTACAGAGCTGCGAACAAAAGTGTTGGCCCTTGGCGCACTCGTTGATGTCCTCGCAGTGCTTATGGTTCTCCTCGGAGATAATGTAGCCGGGGTAACAGGCACATATGTAGCCACGCGGGTTCGCATTAACCGCGAGTGAGCCCGTGTCGGTTACGTTCTGGCAATAGTGCGAGCAGCCGCCTTTGTTCACGTCGTTGCATACTTTGTTGTGATCTGCAGAATCATAATGGAGGAGATGGTCTAAGATTTGTATATGCTGTTAATTAAGCCATTAAACAAAGTAGGAGACTTACGGCAGCCCAATTCATCGGAGAAGTCACCACAATCGTTGGCAAAATCACAGAGCTTCAGCCGATCGATACAATTTTTGTTGGAACAGAGGTACTCGGCGACTGGATTGCATGGGATAATGTTCCGTGAGCAGAGAGTCATGTTATTCTCATCGCTTCCATCGCCACAATTGTCGACGCCGTCACACAACTGATACTTGGCGATACAACGATGATTCGCGCATTGGAAGCGCCGAGTCGTGTCGCAGTTGAAAGTCGCTATTTAAGCGAATGAATTAACATTAGTTTTTATTATCAACATGGGGGGGGGGGAAATTTATTTATTACGGAGACAATAATGACATAAAATAGCCGCGTGTTCCTTTAATCGTGTATTATTTCATACTCGTGTATTCGTACGACAGTAGGTATAAAAGATAACTTCTAACGTGACAGGGGGAAAAACGAGGTGAAAACTTACCGCACATGATGGGATTCTCGTCGGAACCGTCAGTGCAATCGTCACTACCGTCACACCTGTCAGATAACGAGACGCAGATATTATTGTCGCATTGGAATTGCGTCTGTGGACAAAAACGACCGCCCGGATATTTGGGTGTGCAGCCGACTTCGTCGCTCACGTCTTGACAGTCGCGCGCACCGTCGCAGCGCAATGCTATTGGAATGCAGTGGCCACTGGCGCATTGAAAAGTGTCATTCTGCGAATAGAAATCCATTTTTAACTGGCCATAATTTCTTATAGCGGCTAATGATTGCTCAGACAATTTATGAACAGACAACAATGTCTCACCTTGCACTTAAATTCCTGACAGCTGACCTCGTCACTTCTGTCGCCGCAATCATCCTCGTTGTCGCATCTCCATCTTGAAGCAATGCATTTCCCATTGGCGCACTTAAATTCGCTTTCGGTGCACTCTCTGTATTTGCCGGCGCAGGTGTCCTTGGACTCGTCACTACCGTCACCACAGTCGTCGGCGAAATCGCAGAGCCACTGCTTTGGCACGCACCTGCTGTTCGAGCACTTGAATTCGCTGGCAGGGTCGCACTTGGGGCAACCCTCCGGACGCTCGTCCGAGCCATCCCTACAGTCATCCTTGCCATCGCAAAATAGCCACTTGGGAATACAGCGATAGTTAGCATGACCGGGGCATCGCTGCCAGCCAGTCGTGCAGTTGCGCTGGCGACACATGAACGCTGGCTCGTCGCTGTCGTCGCCGCAGTCATTGTCAAAGTCGCACATCCATAGCTTCGGGATACACTTGCCATTTTTGCAGCTGAATTCCGTATCCGAGTCGCAAGTACGATTATCTGGGAAAGAATGGTGATTAATCATTTACCAAGCACCATTATGATAATCGATGTTCGCTAATGACTCGATGAGGAAAGTCGCCGAGCTATTAACCCAATTAATTAATTGTCGTGTGCGCGTGCACGCGATATTTATACGACTACTCACGACAGATTACAGGATCTTCGTCGCTGCCGTCTTTGCAATCGGCGTCATTATCACATTTCCACGAATCGTGAATGCAGCGTCCAGTACTCTTGCACTTGAATTCAAGCTCGGGGCAATCGAGGGCGCAATTGGCCTCGTCACTCTTATCGCCGCAGTCGTCGGTACCGTCGCATACCGTGATTGTCGGCACGCAGTTCTTGTTATCGCACTGGAAGACGCCGGGCCGACATACTCGCGTCGTCGTGCAATTCACCAACTCGTCCGAGCCGTCTTTACAATCTTTTTCACCATCGCATCTTTAAACATTTTTAGGCAATTATCATTCGTTGTCAATACCGCGTGACATAACGCACGATACCGTGAGGACAGAAGCTGTCTATCGATAGACAAGATTAATGTTCATCTCAAATTCATTTAGATATTAGAGTTATCTCGTAAATCTTGAAATATCATCAATAAATAAACTCACTTCCAGAACCAAGGGATGCACTTTTCGTCAGGTGGTCCACAGCGATGTTGTCCACTCGTGCAAATGGCAATGCAGCTTTTCCCGTTAGTTCCAAGGACGAATTGATTTGGGCAATCGCACTTGAAGGATGTGACACCCGGTTGCCCGTAGCCCTCGAGAAGATACGAGCTGGCTGGAGGCGCGATCAGGCAGAGATGAGAGCAGCCGCCATTATTGACCGCGCATGGGTTGTTGTAAGGCAGCTGACGCAGCGGATGGTAAGCATGAATGTCGTATGGCCTGTGAGTCGTGTTTCTCAGAACAGTGAGATTTGCGCCCGAGAATTTGTCCGCTCGGCTAATGGTCTTGAGGTTCCAATCGGTCCAGAAGATGTGGTCATCGAACACGGTGATGGCAAAGACGTGGGGCACCGAGGGACCCGATAGGACGATACGTCTCTGGTGGCCCTCGAGATCGGTGAAGGCTATGTAGTCGAGATGAGCGTCGGCGAAGAAAAGCCGATCCGTTATGTAGTCGATAGTGAGGGCGTTTGGCCATGCTATGTCATCGTTCCACGTGAGGATGCGCGTAAGGTTGCTACCGTCCATGCCCATTTTACCGATGTAAGCCTGATGACAGAACGGTAATTCATTTATTAATACCAGAATTAAGCGTGGCCTTGCATTGCTTTCATAGGTGCAAGATACTTTTAAAGATAAGGAAAATTTGAAAAAGCTGTCGTAGCGACGATTAAAATGCACAAGATTACAGTCAATATACATTACATCTTAAAGAAATGTCGTCAATAAATGCATCATATTTGTTCTGTATTATTAAATATACCTGAAGGTGCCACGATGTGAAATAGAGATATCCAGTTCCTGGATGAACGACAATTGCTCGAGGATCGGCGATTCCACTTTGCAATGTTTTTCTATTGGTACCATCCAATTCCGAGACATCTAAGTGTTTCGCGTGTCTGTCGAGCCAATAAAGCTTTCGGCCAATCCAATCCACAGCGATACCCTCGAGACCCAAACTATTATGGCGTATAATGGCCTCCTTGTCACCGCCTGTGATTGAAGCCCTGCAAAAACCAAAATTTGGAAATAATATGAATCCTTATTCTTGATGAGATTGTGATAGAAAAAATGCGATCATGGAAATTGTATATAAGTAGAGAATACGGAATTGGAGTTTCACAATATTATTGTTCTATTATATTTTTATTAATAAATAATATATTTTTTACGTTATAAAATGACTCTACATTATATTTTATCTCATAAAGTGAATCGTTACAGTTTGCTATTGTGACTTATAAAATAAAATCGTATATGAAAAAATTAAAAATATTTTTATGTAGATTTTTATGTAAATTTTATAGTAATGAATTGAAGTTTATAGATTAAAATTTGTTTTATTTATTTATTATTCTTTGTGCAAATTTTGAAAGATTATTAAAATACAATTTTTAGAAAGGGCACGTTGATTTATTTCATTATAAATCACTTCACTTCAATATAATTGAATGCATGATCCAAATACATGTTTAAATAATACGTCTTTCATTCGATAGTAATAATCAATTTACTTAGTGATTTTTCAATAATATCAATAATACGTTATTCTATAGACAAACCTTTTACTATTAATTACATTATTATTCATGAGATTTAGGTTGAATTTCAGAAAAAGAGATTAGAGGTTTCTACCTGTAAATGGCTTTAGCAGTAACGTCGCAAAAGTAGAGCATTTCCTGCGAATAATCAGCATCTAATGCAACGACATTAATGAGATCTTGATGGACAATGTTATATTGGAAAGCATCAGTCGACATATTTCTAACGTAGTATTTGTTTGTGAAAACAATCCAGGGATGAATACTATCCCTGCGTTTACAAGTATGTTCATCCGCTGCTCTGTCGTACCATTTTTCATTGCATTTGCAATAATACCTGAAACGTAAATAAAATTTAAATGTTCGGTGTGTGTGAAAATGAAGCGAAAAATTTTTTAAGAAAAACTATTTCAAAAATAATATATATATATATATATATATATATATATATATATATAATTAATGAAAAGAATTGATAAAATATTCGTAAAATTTCGTGTGATTGATTTCGAAAAATTTCTTTTAACAGACGCTCGAAACATTCTGCAATAATATTTTTATCCCATACTTAGCTCTAACTACGTAAAAATCCACGTTTTCTATAGACCTTAAGCTCTAGAAACTTTCGCCGAAACAATCAAAGTCTCGATACAGTATGCAACATGAGTTTGAACAATTTTTGCAACGCTCATGCTATCTCAAACAACAGTAATGGAAGATAGTACTAACTTCCCGGGTGTGTTCTCGCACTGCTGACTACAGACCCAGGGTGTTTCAGTACACTCATCAATGTCCGCACAAGCCTTGCCATCTTCAAGGAGCTTATAACCTGGATTGCACTCGCAATAGTAAGAGGTAGGCGTGTCAACGCATCGGTGGCCACATTGGTTAAGCTCAACCCGGGCGCACTCGTCGACGTTGCAGTGCGCGGGTTCATCGCTCCTGTCGTTACAGTCCAGAACTTTGTTGCAGACCAATTGTTGATCTATGCACTGGCCAGAGTTACAGCGAAATTCTTGTGGATTCGGACAAGTTACATTTTTATTTTTCGGAGCTGTAAATTAAAGATAAACACTGTAAAATTGTGATCTTTTTCATTGACGATGGAATAATAAATAATGCGATAAATAAAGGACTCATGTTCCGTAACTGTAATCAGATATAATGAGTATATCGTATAATAAGAGTTATACTCACAACATCCAACTTCGTCCGAATGATCACCGCAATCGTCCTGGCCGTCGCAGTGGAATTGTTTCCTGATGCACTTAAAGTTCTGGCAGGTGAATTCATTTTCTGTGCACTGCTTATATCTCGAGTTACAGAACTTGCCTTCGTCGGAGCCATCGCCGCAATCGTTGTCGTGATCGCAGAGCCAACTGCGATTCAGGCATCTGCCATTATTGCAGGTAAACTGATTATCGGAGCAAGGCACTGGCTGTGGGCAGTGGTGCAAGGTGACGTTCTCGTCAGCACCATCGACGCAATCCGGATCATTGTCGCACAGCCACTTCTGAGGTATGCACTGAGCACGATTCCAGGCTTTGTTCGCCACGCACGTAAATTCTGTCTCTTCGTCGCACTTACGGTCGTCTGTAACAGTCGAGATTTCATTGATTTCAATTAATACGCAAGTGTCTTTGTACATGTAACGCTAACGTCAATAGATACAATAATAACACGGATATACAGTGAGGGTAGGTAGATACATCCGATGCTTTATTCTTTGTTTCGTTATTCCTGTTTTACTTTTGAAAACGCATTATGATAAAAAGTTCTCTAGCTAAAGTATATCATGAAATTACATTCTTATTGGTATCAAATTGAAAATCATAATTATATTTGTAGTCATTGTATAGCTTTGATTAGCACAATGTGAACGAATGTACTTACTACATTGGTGACGCTCGTCTTCATCGGAATTATCAAGACAATCATTATCACCATCGCAGATATAAATTCTTGGTATGCAATGTCCATTATCGCAAGTGAAGAGATCTCCGAAGCATGTTCTTCCTTCTGAATGACAATATTCTGGTGGTTCGTCGCTTCCATCAAGGCAATCGTCATCTCCGTCACAATACCTAGTGACGAAGTCAAGATTTATAAATAGGGAATCTTACTTTTGATAACATTATGAAACAACAAGAACGATTATCTATAAATAACAAATGCATGCGCAAATTTTTGTATTATGTAATCTTTGGTCAAGTTATAATCGTTACAATGCAATTAGAATATAGAATTACATTATGCACAACCATCTCATTAATCGCGAGCAAGTAGTAATATTTCTTAGTAATCCCAAGTAGTGAGCTCTAAGTAGTAGTACGCGGTAGTATATATAGTTTTTTAAAAATCCAGTTGATCAGCAATAATTCAAATGTGACACTATGCTGCTGGCCTTCGTAAATAATACAATGATCGAGTTTACCATGTGGCAGGTATGCATCTGTGGTTTGGACATCGGAAACTATTCTGAGGACAGGTTCTCTGCGAGCAATGAAGCGGATTCTCGTCGCTGTTGTCGCCGCAGTCATTGTCGCCGTCGCACAGCCAATAGGGCTCCACGCATATATTGGTTTTCTCGCACTTAAGATGGTTGGTCGGGCAAGTAGTATTCCTTGGGCAGCGCTCGTGCGTCTCGTCGCTGGTGACGTTGTCTTTGCAGTCGTTGACGCCGTTGCACACTTGTGCTTGAGGTATACAACGCTGGTTGCCACAAGTGAACTCGCCAGCGGCGCAGGGACGATAAATGCAGCCTTCCTCATCGGAGCCGTCTTGACAGTCGTCCTCGTGGTCGCACTTCCACGATTTGAAGATGCAGCGCCCGTTGTTGCAGCGAAACTCGTTCGTGCTGCATGAGTGGTAAGCTGTTGGAGGTAATTAGAAATACAATCGCTTGTGTGCTTCAATGGGAGGTAAAATAAAGTTTGTGAATTTTTAGATCGAGCACAATGTTTGGCGCCTGGGGATTGGGGAGCAGACATTGATATGGATTTCTTCATTTTCACAAACTTACCGCAGTAGTTGGGATCTTCATCGGAGCCATCGCCGCAATCACTATCCCCATCGCAAGCCCACATCTTTGAAATACACTTCCCGTTACGGCAAGCGAATTTGCTTGTGTCACAAGTGATATTTTTCAAGACGCACATACGGTTTTCGTTCACAAGTCGACTGTTGTCGTCGCATTTGCACTCGACGGTACTGTTGGGGCCTGGATGGCATGATTGGTCACAACCACCGTTCATTATGTTGCAGGGATTGACTTTGCATTGTTGCCTGGTAGGAGAATAGATATGCAGGTCGCGTGGGGAGTCCTCGAGTCGTTTAACTGGAAAAACAGTATTTTTAAGTCAAACAAATGTTAACATTCAAACATGAAAAAAGAATATTATATATATATATATATATATGTATATATATATATATATATAGTTAAAGAAAACAATATGTAAAGAAAACAACTTAATTAAATTTCAATTAAATTAAAGTTCAATTGATGAATTTATAGACACTTGTTAGCAATTCTTAGTATAAATTATAAAGCAATTCGTATAGCATTAAAACAAAAAAATAATTAGAATACACTATTCTCATTCATAATAGAGATCTTAATATCTGTAAATCTTATATCATTATAACTTATATAAAGTGAACTTGTTCTTATGGGTATTTGATTGTTTACAATGCGTGATAAATCACACGTACTCTGAAAATTCAAATTTATAAAAATATATACCTAATTCGATGCGGTCTCCGCCGGTGTACTTGTCCGCTCTATAAACACCACGCAATTGTAGATCTGTCCAATATATATGATTGCGGAAGACGGTAATAGCGAATGGATAGATCGAGGCAGGAATGAGGATCATACGATTGTTTCCATCCAAGTCGGATCTTTCTATCTTTTCTTTGATGGCATCTGTCCAGTACAGCATTCGTTCTTCGTAATCAATAGCCAAACCACTTGGCTGTGCCAAGTCCTTTTCAATTATTGCCTTTTTAAGTGAACCAGCCATTGTTGTCCTAAAAGAAAATAATAATAAATTTATAATTTAATTAACTTTTCAATATTGCAATTAGATTTTACTCGAATACTATGCGAATATAGGCAGAAAAAATTGAAAACCAATCCTTCACCTGAAGATCTTGCCAGATGTACTAAATCGGCCCCAATCGGTAAAGTATAATGATCCATTACAGGGATCGACAACAATAGCTCTTGGCCTATCCACCCGCGCAATCATGACGAGGCTTGTGCCGTCGGTATTCATCGCGTAAATACTATTATTTGACGAATCGGTCCAGTATATTTTTTTTTGCGTCCAGTCGTACGAGATGCCTTCGGGATTTATATTCTTAGCGAGGACGGTGGTAATTTGACCATTGGCTGGATTACTCGAGTCCAGCCAAGCTATCTTCGCCCAAGGTCGGATTTGCGTAAAAAATATGCGGTTGTCGTCGTAATCAAAATCAACACCGACGACATTGGTCAAATTGCCGATTGGTTTGAAAGGAACTGAGGTGTCACGCGGCACTAAATTTATAGCTCTGAAAAGCATGTGATCTCAGTTTAATAATGGGCCATAGTGTAATACTCACATCCTGAATTACTGATCAATTTTAATGTTTATTATCTCACCTGATCTCTGTTCGGGTGGCGAAGACGAGGTATTCGTTAACATTCTCACAGCTCTTCTGATCGCTGGATAGCTTACCGATGGCGCAATCGCACCTCATCTGTTGGGAATTATCACGAGGTAAAGCAAAACACAGCTGGCTGCAATCGCCATTAGTGGAACGTCCACAGGGGTTACTGTCATCCAGAGGCTGTGCGCTTTTGTCATAAATAGCGATGTCACGGAGCTTCGGTAAATTTGTCCGCATCGCCGTAGGCAGGCTCATATTGCCTGTCAGTTTACTCGCTCGAAAGACGCTGGCCAGGTTGCGGTCGACCCAGAATACGTCACCTAAGATAGACAAGGGGCTAGCTCAATAAGAATCCATACAATTTGACTTTATATGTGAAATACGATTATTTTACCGTGTAATAGTTAATCAAGCTTTGGAATCAAATTGGAACAAGCGCAAGATAGAAATTCAAATTAAAACCGAAGCAAAAAAAACAAAAACATTCAACGACATTCCTTTTAAGAGACAAAAATGAAAAAGTTTAAAAAGAAAGAAAATAAGATTATTCTATTCTAAGATATGGTTGAGTATGCAATATATTGGTAAATGTTAACTCACCACCAAATACAGCAACGCCCATGGGATTAGGTAGATTGCGCCTAATAATTTGTCGATTACTTCCCGAATAAGAGACTTTTTGTATGGTGTCCAGTTTCGAATCGACCCAGTAAACATCATGCGATGTAAAGTCGATTGTGAGGTCGCGCGGAGTACTGATGCCCGATGTGACGATTGGCTTCCAATTACTGCCATCTAAGAAAGCTTTGCCGATACGTGGATACTGGCCATAGTCTATCCAATAAATCATACGTCGGATTGGATTAACAGCAAGCTCGCGTGGAGTGTCGATCGTCGTCTTTACGATGACTTTTCGGTGACTGCCGTCTAATCGACACACCTGTGAACATTTCAATTTTATGAATTTTTATAAATCTAGTTGTAAATTTGCTGTAACACAGCATACATAATTTATTCCCTAACCTCAACGTAATTATCATGAGGAAAGACGTTTGAAAAGTAGAGGTTTCCAGCGATCCAGTCTATCGTTAGTCCACGAATGCCGTTGGAGCCGATGCCAGATTTGATAATGTGTTGAAGTTCGGTACCGTTTGGCCTGATACGAAAGATACCATTCCAATTGCCTCGATTGAATTCTACCCAATAGATCCAACTTTCAGCATAATGAACGTCTACGTGAAGTATGTGATGACCTGGACCAGCGATTGGTACCATAGCCTCCTTCGCATCCTGGCCAAGAGATAAATATTTTCTTTAGCAACGACAATCACAATTTTCGTAAACAGAAAAAAGTTATGAATAAAAAGGATTAATTAAAAGTATTAAATAAATGATTATAAAGGACTGCTACTTTGATATATTATCTTTTTCATTGTATTTAAACTGAAACATCTATTAAATTATATTTACACAAAGTGGAAAGTTATTAAATAGATTCTGGTAAAGATAGAAATTGGTGTTTTAACCGTGGGTTATGTTTTCTGAATAAAAATTGTTTACTATAATTATTTTTTAAATATATCGGAGAAGAAAAATCCACGATACCTTAAGGCTATAACCGCGAGCGACGTCAAGCTGAGTGACGACTAAAAAGGTTTTGTATGACTCGCAGTTCGTCTCTCCCACTTTTCTATATTGCATGCCGCAGGCACAAACTCTAGTCCCACCAGTGGACGGTAGACAAATTTGTTCACATCCTCCATTGTTATTCAAGCAAGGATGTGACGTGTCGGTTAATCGTTTTTTATAAATCGTTAATGTCTTCAAATCGGCGTCGTTATGTATAATCATGACTGGATTATTACCTTCTGGCAAATCGACTCTTTCGATTTTCTCATACGCCGGATCCAAATAATACAATCTGTAATTAAATAATCATGTAAGCTTATGCGTAGAGTTTCAAGTTTCTTAATTACGTTGCGCTTATTGGTATTTTGAATTGGCTAATTTCATTTAATTAAACGCCAAATAAAAAAAGTAATTCAAAGAATAACAAGCCTTTGTCCATGTACAGCAAGTGCCTTGGGGATAGCAATGTTATTGACATTGGAGAGAATATTGTGTACGACACTGCCGTCCGTGTTCATTGATTTAATGTATCCCGGATGTTGGGTACTGAAGTACAGCATCTTGGTCGGTATGTCAATTGTAATGGCTTCGAGCCACTGTTCATATTCTACTAGGATGAGCGGATTGCTGCCGTCCATATTGACTCGGCCAACCTTGATTGGCACTCCAAAGCCACCCTCATCGATCCAGAACACGTGACCCTCCAACGGATTAAGGCACATAGATTTGGGCTTGGCGACGGATGTTTTATTGCCATCGTTCGCAAGTACGATCGTGCGGTACTTTATCTCGCCATCGATCTTTATAACTTCGATGTTGGACGCTATCTTATTACCTATGAAAATGTTGCGCCCGAGCCAGTCGATGGCGAAGGTTGATGGTGAGCCGATGATTCCTGAATCACCTGGTATGCATATTTTTACGAAGGCGTAAATTATAAGTAATATAACCAAATACCTACACATAGCCACATCATTTATTTTACAGTACGGTCCAAGCTTCATCCGTGGATTTTAAGAAATTTAAACTAAATAAACAAGCAAAACATGTAATGACAGCGATTGTGCCGCATATGTATACAATTGTTATTGTAATAATCTTTACTGAATTGAAAAATATGTATATATGTGCGTGTGTGTTAAATTTAAATGAATCGATTCCTATAAATTGATAAAGTTGAAACTACAACTGCAAATAAATCGTTTAATCAACCATTATTAAACTATTCGAGCAGAGCCATTTTTAATTTTTTATTAATTGTTTTAACGAATTGAATTAATTAAAGTATCAATTTCAATTATTTATATAAATATTATTGGCTTAATGTATTAAAATAATTACCTTGTGGGCTTGGGAATTCGGTACGGTTCCCACCAATATACGGCATAGAATATAAGGTTCCATTTTCGCTACTTTCGTCATTGTCCTTGGCTTGCAACCAATAAACCATGTGTTCCTTCCTGTCATAGTCGACAAATCGTCCACCTTCCACACCAACAACTGGTGTTATATATCCGCTCTTTATGTCTCCAGGTGTGAGCGATACATCCACAATCTAGGAATCAAAATTGATTACAAATCAAGCACTTGATGAGATAAGATAACATAAAACATGAAATTTAGTGATGCCAGACAGAGCATAACTTTTCTAGTTTCATAACATTTTAATGCTGTATTAAGTATTAAAGCTCCTGTAAGTTTATTATAATTTATAGAATCCGTTAGATACGTATCGATTGTTCAAAATCCACCGATTCGTTTTCGTCTGCATCAATATAACTTGCATTGCAATGAAAAATTTTGTATTGTAATAGAATATTAGTTTTATTCAATACACTTGCAATAATAGCAAGATGAACTAATGCTTGGGTCATTTGCATTCGAAATATTCAAATGAGAATATGAATAGACCGGCTAGTATGCATGTCAAGGATTAGCTCAGGTATTGGAAGTTAAGGTTCTTTTGCAATTTTCATTTTGCACTCTTCCGAACTTGGAAATTTTTAAGACATAAGAAAATTGGGATAAATCAATATGATAAATAGTTCTTCCACCGACTGATCGTACATAATTGAAAAATAATAATAATGTTTATGCTGTAATAAGATTGAACGTATTTCAACGAGGGAGGGACGCTGGCCGATAAAAAAGCATTGTATTTAAAAATAATTACTTACTTGGGATCCTCTGAGCACCATGAGGAACGGAGTGTCCTCCTCAATGCACCTGCCATCGCTGAGATGTTTAAAGCCTACGAGACACTTGCAGGTATAACCCTGAAAGACGCTGGGTGACAGAAGGCAGAGGTGTGTGCAGGAGGCGTTGGCGCAGGGATTTGCTGTGATGGGCTGGAGAACGGGATGGTGTACGTGAATAGAGAGTGGCTGCGAAATTACATGGGAGACGACTGTTTGATTGACGCCCTTAAACTTGTGCGCGGAGAGGACACGATTCAACTGGCGATCCGTCCAGTACATTGTATCCTCGAAGAGGGTCAGTGAGTGCGGGTGCAAGAGATAGTGCGAGCTCGCGAGTACTTGCAGGCGTTCCGTTCCATCGTACAGACACGTGTCGATGAAATCCAACTTACTGTCCGCAAAGTAGACGCGCTTGGTCGCGATGTCTAAGGCTAGACCGTTAGGCCAGTAGATTTTTGTTGTGATAATCGCTAGACGCAGAGTTCCATCCATGCCAATACGTTCTACACGTGGATTCTCACCTACATTGCAATTAATTTCAATTGATTTTATAAGGCGAACTAATGGTTATCTTACATCCTAAATAGGATTTGATGCCAAGAGTATGCTTTAATAATGAATAATGAAAATAACTCACCCCAATCGGTCCAAAAAAGCCAACGAGCTCCGGGACTGGGGTCTAGGCACATTCCACGTGGTTGCGTAATGTTTTCTTTAACAAGAACCATTCGGTTCATTCCATTTTCCTTTGCTACTTCAATAGTGTTTAACTTTGAGTCGAGCCAATAAAGATTTTGTCCTATCCAGTCGTATGCCAAGCCTTCAACGAGATCTAGGCCACTCGATATGACGTCCTGTAAAAACCGACAATACCTTTAATTGGCCAATTTGACTTGTTAATTTCGTATTCGTCACAAATAAACAACAGACATTTAAAATTATACTTTTCGAGTACGTTTTCGATATTTATTATAAATTTACAAAGAATATTCATTTATAAGTATAGATTTATGCACATCAATTTGAATGAGTATTACGAATTGCAAACCTGCGGGTAGCTGCCCTTGTCCAATCTCGAGATCTTCTTCAGTTTCATGTCTGACCAGAATATTGTACCGGTGTGCATGTTACTAGCGGTGGCGACGACGTTTTCAACGCTCGTAGGGACGCGCTCGAGCGCCTGGTCCTGGAGATCGGCCACGAGGATTGTATGTCGATTGCTGATGATGAGGAACGCCGCGCTGTGATTAAAGGCCTTGCACGTGTGCTTGTCGACATCGAGAGTATAACCGTCGACGCACCTACAGTAGAAACTGCGCTTGGTATTGACACAGTCCTGGGAGCAGCGACCCGGGGGATCGCACTCGTTAACATCCCGACAAGTGAAACCATCGCTGGCGAGCTCTTCGCCCGGCGGACATGTACACAGCGATCCCAGCGGCGTCTGCGTGCAGTTGTTACTGCAGAGACCGAACCGATGGATGTTGGAGCACTCGGGTAGGTCACAAACCGGACCCTCGTCGCCCCCGTGTGGGCAGTCGACTTTGCCTACAATCACATGAGCCAAGCTGAGCTTCTTGCATTTTTCGACATTTCGCCTGTCCATCCGTACGCCGTTGATTTTTTAGAATATTGCCAAGTCCGCGGTAAGAGAGGGGGGACGGGGAGATGAAAAATTGCAGAACAAGCTCAACATATACATAAGAGTTCCTGAATTCTTTTTATTCAAATTTATAAGTAAATGGCATAACTAATATCTCACATGCATACTAGCTGTCCCATTCACACTTCCATTTGAATGTTTTAAAGGCAAATTATCCGAGTACTTGATTGTCTTTCTATCAATAAATTACAATAAAATACAATAGATCGATGCTTCTGAATGGTCTGACGAATTTGCTTCAATACACGACGAAATTTAATCATAAATTCTGCTTTTCTTCCCTACTACGGCAAACACAGATAAGGCGCAATGGCAAGTGAAAATTGAAGCGAAGTCGATCATGGGGTGGATAAACCACTTACCGTCGCATACGCTGGTAAGATTGACGCATTGATTGGTAACGTTTGGACACTGCCACTGCTGGGAGTCGCACTTGAAGGGCGGCGGTGCGCATGCGTGCAGTTTAGCGTCCTCGTCAGAGCCATCGCCACAGTCGTCTTTACCGTCGCATATGTAAGCTTTGAATATACAGTGGGAATTACGGCATTTGAAGTAGCCAGGTTGGCAAACGACTTTGCCGCAAGTCGTGGGTTCGTCTGACTTATCATGACAGTCTGGTGTACCGTCGCAGTACCAGCTTTTGGGTATGCAGACACCCGAGTTGCCACACTGGAATTGCTTGTCAGCATTGCACTGGTCTGGAGCCAGGGATGGACAGCCGACCTGAGGGGGAACAAGCAAAAGCATTAAAATCTTTTTAGTCGAGATTTCGCGTTCTTTAAGGAAAAATTAGCGGTAAGAGGGTTATAGGTTAGTTAGACGTCGCAGGTAATTTTTATTGAATGCATGGCTGCTCACCTCGTCGGATCCGTCGTTACAATCGGATATGCCGTCGCACTTGTAGGATTCTAGGACGCACATTTTCTGGTCGGTGCAGGTGAACTGAGTATTGAGACATGTAACTGGTGGGCAGTCCATCTCGTCCTGCTGATCGAAGCAGTCGTTGTCACCGTCGCAGACCCACGATTGAGGTATGCATTGGCCCGAGCGAGGACATGTGAATTGAAAGAAGGAGCAGGTCTTGGCCGCGCAGAAGTCACCCTCATCGGAGCTATCGCCACAATCATTCTCCAGATCACACTTCCAGTTGGCTGGGATGCATCTGAAAGAATTAGGTTGTAGCAACCGTATGAGTTTCTGAAACGATTGGAACATCTCGATATAGATGTCTTATGTAGATTTATGAATTGTCGATCAATGGCGATAATCATCGAGTATTTAAGACAATTTTGAATTTCAAGCAATGTAGTTATTTAAGAATCTTCTAATGTTAAGTTTTCTGCTAAACAATTAATGTTAATTATTATTTTATGTTACTAAAGTTTTTCAAGTGTCTAAGTATCCTATCTATTTATATATTAAATTTTCATATCAGTTTCATAACTCTTACGTTATTTATTACATTCACTCATGAATTGAAGAAAATCGATGAACTTTTTACTACTAGTGACAAAATAGCAAGTGAGGGAGAGCAAGTGAGAAAGAGAGGGAGAGAGAGAGAGAGAGAGATAAAGGTTAAACATTGGGAATTAAAGTGAGATGGAAGTTATCTTACTTGCCAAGTACAATTAAAAAAATCAAATGAACCATTAAAAACACAATTTTCAAAGTAGGAATATTAAATATAACTCTCTTTCTATATGTATATCTAAAATTACGCTTATAAATCTAAGCTAGAAAATGTTTTTAAATTAAGACATATATAAGGAATGCGCTTGCACTATGCACGTTCACCTATTATTGTTGCAAGTGAATTGGTTAGCGGTGCAGGTGATGTTGGCACATCCGGTCTCGTCGCTAAAATCCCCGCAGTCGTTCTCCGCGTCGCAGCGGAAACTCAGCGGCAAGCAGCGGCCTGCCTTGCATTGAAACTCGTTGCTACTGCAGGTTGGCTTCGTACAGTTCTGCATTTCGTCGCTGTTGTCGAGGCAGTCATCATCACCGTCGCACACCCACGACTGGGGCACGCAGCGCTGATTGGCGCACGTGAAATCCCAGGCGTTCGGACAGGCGAGCAGCGGTGGCTCGGCTTCTCGATCTTCCACACACGTTTTACCTGGGAAAATCTGCGTTCTAACCTTATTGTATCTAATTTGAATAGCCTATGGCTTTGCGCTGTCAGGTTCTAGATTTCAATTAAGAAATAATGCTCATTTTCATTAGATTGCCAAAGACTGGCTGTTTGACATCCTAGACAGAATGCACTTTGAACTGGATAATAGTAATTGTATCGACAATATTCATAATATTACTACTTTTTAACATACTTACCATTTTCAAACAATATGTCAAAAAAATGTTCTAGTCTAGGATTATAAAGTGATATTTAAAAAGTTGTAAAAAAATGTTACGTCATTTCAAAATTGTAGACAATATTTAAAATATAAAATATAAACCACTACTACTACTACTATTCCTATATCATCATCGTCGTCGTCATCATCATCGTTATTATTATTATTATTATTACTAATATCATAATCAATATTATCATAATTATAGTTGTCGTCGTCATTGCTGCTGTTATTTGATTCCAAAGTAATAATATGATGTTTGCCAAGATAATATAATAATTAAACATAAACTAATAGCGGGTGTATAGTTAAGTAAACAAAAGGCCAATTTAAAAAGTTAAAAACAATGTTCATTTGAATGAAAAATTCCACTGAGCATTTGATATTATAATTGATTAGTATAATTTGTGCATCCCAACCATCGCCACTCACCGTCTTCTTGCAGCTTCTCGCCATAGGGGCAACCGCAGAGTCTCGTGAGCCTTTGAGGATTGTACCTGACGGTCTGGTTCGAAGACACGGCGAAGCAAAGCTTCTCGCATCCACCGTTGGCAATGGAACACGGATGCTCGTTGTTGGCCCTCTGCACGTGACCGCTGAAGACCTTAACGCCATAGAGTCGATTGGTCGCGGGCTCGCGCACGAGTATCGATTCCTGCTCGCCCGTCTGCTTGTGCATCCGTATTATAGCGTCGAGGCGCCAGTCGGTTATGTACATCCATTGCTCGTGTATGGCGATGGAGAATGGATGCCGGATCAGCCGGGAGTTTACGTTCCGTACGTCCATCCCGTCGAGATCCGAGTGCTGCACGTGATCTAGAAGAGCATCGCACCTGGGACAGAGAGATGTATGGGTGACAATTGAGAGCTAGACAGCTCGTCTTCACATCCGAATGTACAAGCGATTACGAGGACTGCTTAATGCGACGAATTCGTTTATGCATTCCGTTATTAGCGCCTGTAATCCGCGACCGTATGACCCTCAACGGCGTATGTTAATTGCATTTTCTCAGGGTAAATAGCGGAGTGTAAATGTGGGTCCACTGATTACCTGATATAATGTATGCAATGGCTGATGATTAATACGAATTCGATCGATAAGAATTAGTTAATAATCAATTATTTAAGCAAAAAATGCAACTTCCCGTGAAACTCGGGTAAAGTACATTTGAATGTAAGGTGACAAGTCTCCTGCGTGTCGAGATTCCATATAAATAAAAATTTCAGAATCCCCTGGATAGTGGAATAAAGAAACAGATGTAAAAATCGTACCAGTAAAGCCGATCCTTGGTGAAGTCGATGGCGAGGCCGTTGGGCCAGCCAAGAGTCAGGTTCTTGAAAATGACGAGGTTGGAGCCGTCGGCATGGGCCCGACTAATGTTCGCCGGTCGGTCCCACTCCGAGAAGAAGATGTAGCCGTGGTTAGGATGTATAACAATAGCGCGCGGTCGCTTGAGATTCTTAAGGAGAGTTCTCCGATAAGTGACGTTGCGCGTACTGAGAACATTGAGGGTGCCCTTACGCGAGTCTATATAATAAAGGTTCTTGGCGGCCCAGTCGACCGCAAGGCCCTCAACGCCCTCGTTTTGACTAGCCAGTACTATTTCGCGGCCCGTGCCATTCTGCCGCACCTGAAATCAACCAGATGATCGTTTACTTTAGAGCTCATGTTACTAATTGGACATTTTAGACTGCTAATCAATAACCAGTATTAATAAGTTTGGGAACACGTGCTGTTAAGGATGCTTAATTGATTTGTCTATTTAAGGCTCACGGGAATAGCGGGATTAAGGTATGGGAGGGGGACGTGGACGGTCAGCGCTTATAGCATTAATAAAGTTGATAACTGAGACTTGGGTAAGGGAAAAAGTTTTTGAAAAATATGAAGAAAGCGGATAATTAACTTTACGTATTGTACCGCGGACATTTTAAGAGCGTGAACTAAGAAAATAAAGCGCTTGTTAATTTCGAATTACCGCATACAATTTCCTTAGAAACGTTGCAGAACTTCGGTGAAATATAATCGTAGAAAATCTCATAAAAATACGCTCGACACTAAAAGAAATGCAGATTTTAATGGCACTGAGTTTACGGTTCGACAGTTTTCTCTTTAATTCTGATGTTTTTCTGGATACATCTTAAGTCCAATCTAGATTCACATTCTCTTTTATTTTTACACACTGCCGATCGTTATTCAAAAAATCACATTTTATTAAATATAAATTTTACCGCTATTATTCATCCACACGTAGGTCTATGTGCAGGATATATATTTTTTTAATATTATACTCATAATAAACTCTCTATCTAAATTTTGAGGCTTATTATATGATACGCATAAAAATACAGTAATTGTAAAAATATGTTATTATTCTTATATTTGTAAAAATTTTTAAAGATTTTTATAGACTATAAATGATACCTGAAATTGACATGTGCAAAGGACAAAGAAATGTTCGACAAAAAGAATATCATTTAAGTATTTATTTATCAAAAATTGTAAAATAAAGAGGACATAAAGGTTTGTACATAAAATGAATATATTTTATAGTAACTAATAATAATTATAGATAATATTATCTAAACAGAAACATGACAAGATAAAGTAATTATCTATATGGATAACTATAATATGTATGCAACTAGGCGATACATACCTTCAGTCTCTGTTATATTGTTATAATATTAGAGTTGAACTCGTCCATAAATCGATGTAATGACTTTAACCAGCCTGACTTTTACCGCTAAATTATATTTAATGCGTAGAAATATTTTTAGCGCTATTCAGTATACTTCGCAATAACATTCTTTTAAACTTTGTTATTACGCATAGCATGTCTATATTTATTTATATAGCTATTGTTATGTAAAATTAGTGTCTTTCAAATACAAGTAATACCTTCAGCAGTATTATCTTATCCGTTGAATAGATTTTAAAGTATATCATAATGTAATTAATATTGAGTAGGTAAAAAAAAGTAAAAGAGAAATGATAGCAAGGCATAATGTTGTTAGCAAAGTTAAACTTAAGATTGAAATTAAATTTGAGAAAATCGACGTATTAAGTAAGTAAATATTAATGAGTTTCTTCTTGAATAAATGAAGGTTTTGCATAATTAAAAATAGAATCTCAAAATAGGGGAAAAAATGATTACGTTAAACGTTAACTAACCCGGTAAATAACATCCTGCAGAACGTCGCTGTAGTAAATATACTCTTCTTGGGCATCATAATCCAAGCCGACGAATCTCGCCCTCCTTGACACGACCGGCAAAATCGCATCACTGAAGCTCTCGATCACCGGATCAAGCACTCGACCTTTGATGAATCTCTGCTGCGAATACATCAGAAACTCCTCTACGGGTCTGCAATTGTGTAAATCTAACAGCAGCCTCCAACCTATCCACGCATATTTTCACATACAGATTTCAATATGAATTGTTTATCCCCTTAAATTAAGTTTTAAATATAAGAACTATGCGGTTTGCAACCTTGAAAGTAAGTTATTTAAAGCAAATGAAATAAAAGTTTCATTTATTGAATTTAGTATTTTTGATTTAAACAAATTCATAATATTAATGTTTCAAATGACTAAAGCTTATTCAATGTTTTATAAAGCATATCGTATAAATTGCTCTATTAATGTATTATCAAATTGCGTCTCAATTTGCACATATAAAGAAATATATTTCATTATTCTTTTACGATGCTATCAACAAAAAAAAAAAAATAATTTATTTATTTTGTAATAATAATTACATAAAATCAGATTATTTCTAAATTTTCATCGAAAACTTTATTTCTCCGATAATTAAACATAAAAATTTGAGATATAAATCTTTCTAAGTTTTATTGTATTAAAGGTATATCTTAATATAACATCCTTTAATCGTTAGCATATATTAGGTATTATAGTAATATGAAATTGCGCAACTTTAAAAATGGCGTAAAAGAATACAATTTAAAAAGTGTTATTGCATAAAAAAAAACTTTGTTGACGAAGCCGAATAACAATATATTATACATATTTTTACTTCGTCAATTTGAATTTATGACCTTCAAAGAGATTTACTTTATGATTCTCCCACAGACCCAGACTCAACAATCCCATAATTTTAACCTGCATTCAAGAACACACTTCCTTCAACTCTCTTAGTGGATCCAACTAGTCAAACTAAGTCAATGCAATCTATACTTCCATTCTCACCTCTAAGAAGGTGTAACCTCTAAGAAAGAACTACTTTGTCGAGCATAATAAATACTCAATATAAACAGCTAAACAAGCAGGCGACAGCTATCGCGCCTACAATAGAGCTTACAACCACAAAAATCAATATCCAGGTCAGATTGGACTTACCAATGTTACAGGCGCATCGATATCCGAGTCCCGCCTCCTCGCCGCCCGCAGCCGTTACGATGCACATCTGCTGGCAGCCTCCGTTATTCCTGCCGCAGGGATTCTCTCGGGGCTCGATTTGCAGGACCGCGTGCAGCGCCTTTATGGCTTTGGCGTCGCGCATCTTTGTCACGCTCTTCACCGTATTCTCGGAGTGCGTCTTCTCGACGCTCAGGACCGCCTGCTTCGAGCTATCTGTCCAATAAACGTTGTTCTCGAACAGCGTAAGGCGCATCGGGGAGGGCACCTATGGCATGTAAATGAGAATGAGAGATCTTAAGAGCACCTGTTTCACACGCGGGCTGATATTTTTTCCTTTTATCATTTGTTTATGGGTGTCGTTTGTGATAAAAGTGTGCGTTTATTTGTATAATTCATTCGAACGAGCTATAAAATACAGATTTTTTTCAACGTCTGATTTTTTTTGATTTTCCGAAATAAATAAGTATTATTTGTTAGAAAAATTCTTGGTTTAGAAATTGTACAGTTCGAGAATGATGTATTAGGATTTATTATGCACAATGCTAATAATATAGATGTCTTTTAATTAATAAATGCCCCGGGATCATTTCCATGGGAAACAGCCGATTATCTAATGATGTAAATTCAGCTATTCGCATTAAGGGTTATAGCGTGCGAGTATAAAGCTGTTATCACTAATAAATGAATGGGATATTTGTAGTAACGATGAGTAATATATGATAAAATTGTTTAAAGTATATAGTATATATTATTTTCACATATTAATCGATAATAATTAGCATGACATTTGCTGGGCTTCGTGGCTCAACATCCCTCATAAAACGCTTTGGCATTTATTGAGAAAAATATTATCGACGAGTTTGAATATCCTACCTGATTTCCTCTTAAAATCATAACGCGATTGCGACCCATGTAATCGGCGGTCTCGATGTAGTCCAACAGTAGATCGCACCAGTAGATCCTTTTAACGATGAGATCCGTGGTGATTCCGGACACCTTGTAGGCTGCCTCGGAGACGATAGGAAAGGCGTTGGTGCCATCCATGTTCGCCCTGAGGACCTGCTTGCTGTCGGCAATGAACATAAGGCCGACGAGGGGATCGAGGGCTATATCAGCTGGGCTGCTGAGATTCGAGCCAAGAGCGATGCCATGATAACGCCCGTCCAGCTCGAACACGTCGATCTTTTGGACGATCGAGTCCACTACGTACAGCTTATCACCCACAAAGTCGACGGCTAAGGCTGTGGGTGCCCACGACCCTGGCTGCGATATGTCCGCGTCCACGTGTTCCGACGTTCCTGTATCGTCCACATACATTTGTCTACTTTGTGTGATTGTTTTTTCTTGGATTGTGCAATCTTATCATTTAATACCTGGTATCGGTGGTGCTTTCAATCAAGGTTTCTCGCGACATTATGTATTATATGAAAGGCTAAATCTATTAAATAGTAATCGAATCGTCTATGAATGACCATATCGATTCGCAATCAATTTGTTCACGAACCCTTAATTCAAGACGCATTGCGAGACTTTAATTGACGAAGTTACCTTTAAGCAATTGTGAGTGTATCTTGCGCGTCTTAACGTCACTCCAGAAAAGAAGATTTTTGTTGTAGTGATAATCGAGTCCACTGGCACCAGTTGTGTTGGCCACAAGGTGTCGCTCGTCGTTTCTGCTATTGGGTAACACTCGCCATATCGCACGCTCCTGCGCGACCAAAAGCTCCATCATCTCCGAGTGTATCGCCCGACACTTCCTCGACGTTATAAATACATAACCCGGCATGCAATTGCACTCGTAAGAGTTATCGGAGTTGGTGCATAGCTGTTCGCAGGAACCCCATTCCTGACACTCGTTGCGGTCTGCAATAGGATTTCGCTCGGATTTGATTTGCTTTAAATTCAATGAGAGCGTATGCTAATGTCCTTTCGCTATCGCTTTATATTCGTTATATTCGTTAATTATTTTATGCTGCTCCGTTCTATAAAATTCTCGGCCATTGATAATTACAAAAATTTCAAAAAATTCAAAAGAAAATGAAAAAAAGATTACTTTTTTGATTGCTCATTTATATAAAATATTTTAATAATGATTCATTGTATTGATAATAATTGGTCGTGTACGAAGAATATACACAAGATTAAAGCAATACGTTGGAAATATTAAATCAAAATTACCACATAGTAGTTATCTACTCCAAATAAAACCGTAAAAAGAAAAAATAAGATGAAAGACCATAGTCAAATTTTTATTAACAAATAAAGATTTGCAAGACTCGCGGCAGATTAACGATCTATTATAAGTGCAGATACCAATATATTTGTAAGAAACTGTCAATTGATGTTAATTTCAAATATGGTTAATCTGTTATATAAAAATTCAGCCTTTTACCTATACAACTTTTGGAGTCATTAGCGAGTATCCGACCCTCGGGACAGTAACAAACACCTCCCGTGGGAGACGCTTGACAGTTAAATTGACAATCAAGTGCTTTGCACATGTGCATCGCTACAACAGAGTAACAAAACAGTATTAGTAATAATTAACAAGTGATGTTGTATACCTTATTAAAAGCGAAGGGCAGAGCAAATCTGAGTCTGAGCTTAGACGAGTAGCGGTCTGACTATCCACATAAGCCCATCACCCATCAACTAACTCAGACATCGTAGCATTGTGATTAATGGCCCACAATAAGATACTTACAGCAGACAACGGCCTCGTCGCTGCCATCGCCGCAGTCGTTCTTGCCGTCGCAGAGCTGAGATCTGTTAATGCAAAGGGGCTTGCCGGCCGAGCCCTTGGGGCAGAGGTACTTATTATCCGGGCAGACAATCGTCGTGCAACTCTTTTCATCCGAACCATCTTCACAGTCCTTGTAGCCGTCGCACTGGTAGCTCATAGGGATGCAGAGGGCGTTCGCACACCGGAACTGATCGGTCGCGCATGCGGGGAAGTCTGTTGACAAGTGGTTTTATTTTCGTCGTTAATTTCCCTTTCTTTGTCTTCAGGCTGTGCTTCCGCGGATCGCCACTGAGGTAAGATTCTTTTTAATAGACGAGCATTACTTACGAAACCATCGGCCGTTAAACCTTCGATAAATGCATTCCGCGGCTTGTAAATTACGTCGTACCTTGCCACTTTTTAAAAGACAGGTATTTTAAATTGTTTATTCGTATTGAAAGCTAATGAAAATATAAAGTTTGATGTTCCGATTAACGAGCCACACTGAGAATTTATATTTCTATTCAAATAACGAAGCCAGTGTGTAATTTATAAATAAAAGAAATATTTACTCTTGAATAAAAATTAGAAACTTTGGAAATTTATAAAGAAGCGTAAAGTGTATTTAATATTTTAATGTGAAGGAATCGCAGCTTTACTTGTACGTATTTTTTTATGGACGTGCGGTCTTGTAAGTATAAATTATGGAAATTTAAGCGATAATTTAAGAATTTAATGAACTCTGCAAGATACTAATTATAGATGTTTTTTAATTTTTTTATTTTTTTTTTTAATCGTATGCTTTTCTCATTTGTATAGAACAATAATATATTAAACATTGGTAATTTTGTGTAAATTGTATTATATACGATAATTAAGAATGAGAAATTGCATATAGAGTATTGAACCAGCGGCTTATCGATTTTTTAAATGATAAGAGGAAATTTCTCGCACCATCTACACCTTCTCGTTTGTAGTTATGCACAAAGTGTAATGTCAAAAATTATTGCGAAAGCTCAAATGGCATATAAATTACGAATAACGAAGTTTTGATTCTGTCTCAGATAAGAACGCTATATCCATTAGTTTTATCTTTTAATTTTATTAGCATGGAAAATAATGGAGAGTGTGCTATCGTGATACTCAATTAAGTTAGTATCTCCATTAAAGGGTGTACTTCAGCAATGGATATTGCTGATTTTATTTTTCTTATTGTATATATAAGTGACATAACGTTATCGGGGCTTCTGTCAATCGGATACTACGAATACTCTCATTGCATCGAAAGAAGCGACTGAGATTGAGAGATGCAAGTCTGTAGAGTGAGCTGTTCTCATTCGGGAGATAAGTTATATTGTTTAGGTAGAAGAAAATCAAGCTCGATCTAAAATATCTCTAGGTGCCCTTTGGAATCTCCAACCAAGAACTTATCTCCCAAAGGGAGCAGTTAAACAAATGCCCGTACTGCAGTGATCCTCGTCGCTGTTGTCACCGCAGTCGTCTTTGTGATTGCAGCGCATCGTCTGATCGATGCAGCGCTGCGTGACGTTGCATCGGAACTGATCTAGCCGACAGGCCGGCCTCGAGCTCGCGCAGCCCTCCTCCTCGTCCCGGCCGTTCCTGCAGTCAAGGTATCCGTCGCAGTGCTTTTCCTTCGGCAGACAGTGCTCCATCGTTGTGTTGCCGCAACGGAAGTCGTCCGGCTGGCACTTGCGGTAATCTAAGGACAGGCGAACGCAGGCATAAACTTCCGTTATGGTTGAATTTAAAAGGAGCGGATTGTTTAAGATTCCGGCAGTTTGTCGCGGAAATAGAATGGGGAGCATCTCATCAGCTTAATAAATTCTACCGACTGGTCAAGTTTCGTGTTACTTGACTCACATGACAACAAACACAAGAATAGGAATAAATATATATTTTGTTGCTTTGCGATAATGGTGATAATTTTTAATGGCGCTTTTACCTTACCTCTACAGTGTAATTTCAAAGTTTGTAATTTTGAACATTATCTGAATAATAGGGGCAATTTATAATTCTGAAAGCCGTTTGATTTGCCTAAAATTCTATCATCTTTACTTTGTATTACAATATAAAAATTCCTCGATCTATTCTACACTTAAATATTTTTTGTTGTATTTGTGAAGAATTCATTTATGTAGTTAAAGTATTTTTTCAAAGAAAAAGTAATTATGTTGTATATTTTTAATATTTAATCACCATTTGATAAGGAATCTGAATTTTTTATTGAATTATACGATTTTTTATTTATTCATTAAGTACGACTATTAGATGTAAATATATGAAAAATCTAAAAACAAAAACTTTATTTTTAAAAATTGTCTTATGTGATAGAGATAATGGTACTTTAAATATATAATTCAAACGTATGGAAATAAACGAAAAATGTTTATTAAAATTGTTAAAATCCATCCGAATAAAATTAATTTCCTACACTTGGAATAACTTTCAAAAAAGTTAATATTTAACGGTTGAATTGATCAAAATGACAAACGTGCAAATACATATAAGTCCATATATTTCATAAAACTACTAATTTATAATTTAATGTGTGTGCAAAATTGATCATCAAAACTTACTTTACATACTTCCATTCATAATTAATACAGAGTAATTACTACCACTACAAATTTCATTGGTCATCTTTGTGTTTGTTAATGATAATAATTATTAATATTTAAAAACTTAAAAGTTTTCTAAGATTTATAATATTATATAAATAATGCTATGATTGATAAGCTACAAGAAAAAATGGATTTTTTTATGATACTATGTGTAAAATATTCTGAAAAGTGAGAGAAAATCCAGTCAAATAATATAACAAATATATTCATTACATATAATGCATATTTGTGCTTAACTCCGTGAGAATACTATATATCTACTTTCTATGTTATTTATTTAATTAAATACAGCCTCGTTTTTATTATTTTTGCTATTGGAGTGGTTAATAATTTCTTTTTTATTTGTAGCATTTATACCATCACAGTAATCATACTTATGTAAACTAAGAACTCAAAAATATTCTACATTTCGGCAAGTATTTTTGTGAATCATTTTGTAAGAATGTATGCTTCATTTAAGATTACACTTAGATTATTTGTAAAGATTCTGTAAATTATATGTGAAAATTCTTTGAAGTTTTTTTTAATTATTATTTCAATACTGTCAAGTAAATGAATACTTAAAATCAAATATGGACATGATAACTTTAACATATGAATTATATTGCGTACACTACTACGAAATATAAAACTTGCAATAGTAATCGGTTTGGATCATGTTTATATATATAATTTATTACTGCACTTATAAAATAGTTTTTAACGTAGTGTAAGTTTCATGTTTGCTACATAAGAATATATAAGAATGTAGATGTTTTAAACATTTTTTTAATTGAAGTAATCTGTAACGATTATATTATTCCAAGTGTAAAAAGAACATAAGTAGTTACTGAATATCGAATAAAGAGCAAAAGAATATTTAGGATTACACAAATAATTATAATATCGACATTACTATTGTTATATACAAAATTAAGTTTCTAATAGTATGTTGTTTAATTTATATTCTGATATTAAACTTTGATTGGATATCTTACCTAAAGGTGTAAGAAGTTTATTTCAAAATAGTATGTTTTCAATTAATCGATGTTCATTATTCAACTTTTATTGGGTTTAAAATTTGATTTAATACATTTTTACAAGAAATTAACAATTTCCCGACTTATCGTTCTTCATGAATTTAATTTCTTTATTATAGTGTCATACACACACGAGCGCGCACGCACATCTATTATATATATATACATTAAAATTTATGTTTCATAAAAATTTTATAAGGAACTTAATCAAATTGATTTACTTTACAACCAGAATTTTGTCTTCTTTAGCGATAAATTATTTAGATTCTAAATAGCGTAACTAAATCTTAATAAATGTGGTAGTTTAATTGGCTATTAAAAACTTGATTCAAGTAAATATTTCTTTATGTAGTAATAAATAATTTTTTATTTCAATCAAATTTTAATTTACATATTTAGAAAAAATTATTCAATATTAAATATGAAAATAGTATGTGTACAACACTATTCAAGTTGCAAAAACTTCCTTCCTAATAGTAAAATTAATTTCAGCTATGATTTATGATCATATAATGTAATTATCTATAATTTGACTAGTTACCACTTTGAAAGTATTCAACAATAGCGTGAACGCACTAATTACCAAACGATGTGAAAGTTCATACAAGTTGGTATCGCTTTTATTACAACATCTACGTTTTAATCACGTGGGACTAGTCACAACCTTGGCATTGGTACATTTTATCAGGTGTAAATTTCTTCTAACTGTTCACCCGTGTAAAAAATTTCTTCGTATGCGAGGCTAATTTTTAAAGAGAAAACGATACATTGGGAACAGTAGTATGACATCAATCTCGTATGGCTATTTTTGATGTGAGAATTTTAACGAATAATATTCGTGGATAATGAACTTTAAATTCAGAAATTAAAAATTAAAAAAATTGTAAAAATAAAAAATTGTAAAGGTAAAAGAATTGCAAAAGTTAAATAATTTAAAAGAATTAATTTTAAATTAAAAAATTACAAAAGAATTACGTAGAATGGATAAAAAGAATATCGATTAAATACAGACACATACAGAGACTAAACAAAACAAGCCGATTAGTTGTGCGTTTCTATAAGTTAAGAAAAACTCATGGGTAGGTATAAGAAGGCAATATATACATTTGTATGGACTTTTTCCATAAATATTAGAAAGAACTCGATTATATTGTTGTATATCTGTGTTTTCCATTTATATCATCGAAATAAGAAAATTTCAAATATATCTTTCTTGATGAATTTTTGCAATACGTATCATATACTTTTGAACAAACCTATTCTTTGTCTTCAGCTGCCACTTAAGCTAAAAATTTCAAGTAATAACCGAAACAATGATAATTTTATATCATTATTTGAGACTTTATATAAAATATAAATCTTCAGAATGAATATATATTGATTGAAATGAATAGAAACCAAAATCTTTGCCACAATGGAATAAAATTATAGTATAAATTACAAAGGTGTAAGATTAATCCAAGATGATAAGTACTTTAAATAATAAATAATTAAAGATATATAAATAAAAATATATAAAGATACAGATATTGGCGTATTGTATATTTGACTTATTTTATACGTATCAACTTAACCGTTTTATTAATTATTTTGGGATTTTCTTTTTAAGTAACAAACAAAGAAAAGGATTTGCGTCTGAAATAAAGTCCTTGAATTTTTAATTGATTATTCGAAATATTAATTGTCTATGGTAAGTCGCATAGTAGTATGTAACGTTTTGAATTATAATAAAATGACAGCATAACGAGCATGTGTTTCCGACCCCACGTATAATTTCTTTTTTTTCGCAGCAGCAGCAAAATTTTTAGTGATATCTGAACGAGTAATTCGTAAGCGCGAGGCTTTGCGAAAAAAGAAAAAGGCGCACGCCGTCATTACAAAAATACGTATGTATACGCGAGGTCGCGAAACATGAGCGAGGTTCTTTCTCTCTAAGCGCTTGGGTAAAGTAGAAAATGCGGGTGGGGGAAGGAGGTAAATGATGAGAGCTGGAGGTGAGCGAGTGAGCCGGAATTTGTACCATGCCGTGCCATCTTCCACTTCTATCTCTCTTATTCTCTGTCCCACTCGCGCGTTGCAGCAGCGTCGTATTTATTTTCATTCACGATAGGAAAATTTTTGCAGCACCAATACAATTTTGAAAAGTTTTTACTATATCACTTTCTATTAAAATAATTTAAGACGGGATAATTATCATGAAATTTCGGATGATGGATTTAATTTTTAAATTATTGTAAACAAATTAATGAAAAAAATCAATAGGAAAATTGTGCTTCAAGTCATAATCAATCTATATATTGTTCGTTTATGATTTTCTATAAATTTTAATGTACACATAAGTTATTGACAATAGAAAACCGACGAGTTGTCGCCATGTGTTTACATAATTTCGTCTCATTGTTTTAACTAAAATTATACCGGAATAAGTTTATATTTATAATACAAAATATAGCATAAGCTAGAAAATAAAATTCAATTGTATTTTCAATAAGAGCTGGGTTATTACAGTTTAAAATTTATCGTTCGTTTTTATCAATCCCTAATATTCCTTCTATTAACTTCTTTTATACAATTGTAGTATAAATCTCTGAACTACAAAATAAGTAATTTACTATAGAAAAATTCAGTGTTCTGTAGAAACGTACCATTTAATAATTAAAAATTTTATATTTATACAATAATGATACGTTGATTAAGAGTTTGAAATCGTAATGAAAATTGCATGAAAAATTATTAAAAATAATGAGTAACGGTTTATATTTGCAACATTTTATTTAATATTAGTACATATAAATGTAAATATTTTAATTTATTTATGAAACAAAAGGTATCTTTTAATTATAAAATTACCTCTTTGCTTCGTTGACAACAATCCAAATTCGATATTAAATCACCGTTTAAGATACCTTCAGGTAGAATATTAAGGGGACGTTCGAGGTCATCGCCAAGTATTTCTTCAGACATTTCATAATGTGTAGTGTTTGAAAAAAATATTTAATTATCAATAATAAATATCAAGTCACTACAAAACAGTTATAAATTGCATAAATACAAATGAT